ACCACGACAAAACTCTTCCGTTAGAATTTACCACCTGCAAGACGTCACAGACTGCAATTCATTCTTAGTAAGTGCAAGAGCAAACCCAAGCCACCTGTTATTAACCTACGGTCGGGACGGCGGCGCTTCAAAACCCGCAGGTTCGGCGGCGGAGAACGAAAGAACCCCTTTGTCAGCGGGGAGAAAAGTCGGCCGCAGCCCGGGGCGAGGAGCCGGGGGAGCCCGGCGTGCCCAAACACCGCAGCCGAGGCGGCTGCCTGCGGAGTGCGGAACGCTTTCTCCACGCCGTGGGCAGCTTCTTCGGGGCAGGTTGCCGTGTGAGCAAGAGACCTACAAGGGAGAAGTTTTTGTACTTTTTCTTTTTATAAGTTACTCTCGGGCAGGGGGCGCGGTTGCTGCGGCTGCCACCGGCCGCCCCTCACTCCGCTCTCGCGCTCCTCCGCGTCCGGGCACCTCGACGAGCCGCTGCAGGGCGGCCCCTGCAGGCAGTGTGGTTGGCCAGCAGCTCCAAGCGCTCCTTGGAGGAGGCGCTGGGCCGCCCGCACCTCGGCCGGCCGCTCCAGCGCCTGCAGCACGGCGGCGCCCATCCCCACATAGCCCAAGTAGGCGGCCAGAGCACCGGCCACCCCCCAGCGCCGCCGCCACCGCCTGCCGCCACCCACCACCAGCATCACTCCACGGCCGCCGCCGCCCCCGCGCGAAAGAAGCGGCGGGGGCGGGAGCGGGGCCGCCCGCGGGAGGAGGGCTGCGCCGGCCGGCCCCCTGCGCCTCCCCCGGCCTGCCCCTGTCCACAGAGTCGGGTTGTGCCGGGATAGGCAGGTGATTGTGCCGGGAAGGACAAGTGGTTGTGCCGCTCCCGGCTGCAGCAGCCCACTGCGCCGCCCCCGTCCTCCTCTGGCGCCGCTCCACTTCACACCTGTCCGTCCCAGAGCGCTCCGCCAGTGCCTGAGCGAGCGCGGGCACCGAGTCACGTTCGCCCCTCCGAGGGATGCTAGCCAGCCCCTTTCCCAGCAAATCCAAGTATGTCCCTCATCAGCTGGCACTATTAAAGTACTACTACGGCAGTAGGTTGCGTAAATCTGCTCTCCTCCTTCACTCAGCTGCTAATTTAATTTAAAAGGCAGCAAACAGGTATTTGTGATAACAACTCTTAGATATAAACAAGTGAAAAGGTAGCAAGTTTGTCAGAATCTTTTTATAATTTGTAATTTTCCCGTGGAAGTACTTTCTTCATATAGGTAGTTCTCAAGACCGCTTTGATTAATTATATTCTTGTAGAGAACTGTATCTAACGTTCCTTTCTGTTCTCTTACCAGCAGATAAAACAGTCAAGTCACTTTTGGTGTATAAAATCTTTTTAATTTACCTGTTTTGTTGTGTAATATTGAGCTAAAGGGGGATAAACCCGCTAGATTTTTGAACAGGATGCCTTTATGTACTGTCACATGAAAATGCGTTCTCACACTGCCCTCTAATTATTTTTGCCAGGGACGTGTGCATACTGTTACAAATAAGACAACCTTCAAACAGGTAGGTATTGCCCCACTGCAACTGTTGTGGAGATGTGCTAATCTCTGGTTTTCTGGGCTGTACTTTAAACTGACTAGCATAAACACATGATTTTGCTAGCAAGATGCAAAAATTAATATGCAAAGACTAGATCAATTCCAGAGTAAAGATATCATTCTGAGCACAGTCCTAGGGGAAAAAAAAAGTTATGCTGCTTATTGCTCAGTCTTAACTCTGCCTTTTCAGGGTATTCATTACTGAATGATATTTAAAGCAAAAATGGAATTATGTAAAAAAGGAAAGGCTTCTATAAAATTATATATGAGAAAATAAAAGTGCAAAGATACTAAAAAGTATATATTCGTCACCTCTTTCATTGAAGATTGGGAAATAGATACATCTGAGCTACACTTTGACATTTTAACGGCATTTAAACCCAGATATTTTATATAAAGCACACTGAGTATAACCATGCTAAAACATTATGAATAAACATATAATATAGCATTTAATATTTATACTAAAAATATATAAAACAAATTACAGGGGAGACTCAGGAGTTTTAACTACAAGACAGATTGTGAAAACCCACGACATCAAGCATGTGCTTACTAGGAAACTGGGGAGAAAGAGATCAGGATTCACAATAAATCTTCACAGAATTATATAATATTTAAATGGTTTTCTTGAGTACTCTCAGAAGTGTCGCTTGTCTGTCAGTCTTCTGTTTACATCTCCACAGAGAAGGGCTCGAATCTTGCTGATGATATTTTGATGTTGTCTGGAAGGTACCAATATATCTCAGGATGAAGAAGGGCTTGTTGCGTAGGCTTAAAGGGTAAGTGTAAGCCTGGAAGGACATTTGCTTCTTGTCCTGCACTGGACTGCAAGTGGTAGCTGCTCATCACAGATGAACGCTGCCTGAGCCATCACTTCTGCCACAGACTGCAGAGCTACATTCAGAGGCTTCAGAAGTGCTGTTTTCCATGTATTGGAGCTAAATATGTGCACTCCCATTATGTGCAGAAATGTACCACTGGTAAAATGGGCTATTAGACCAGAAGAGTCCCTTTTGTGTGCTCCTCTGGCTCCTAGCAAGCCCCTGTGATTGTGCAGTTCTTCCATGTTACTTTTCTTAGCTGGTCAGTTGATAATTGACAACTGCCTTTTTATTAGAGGAAGGCTACCAGAAAGCACTTGGTCCAGCCATGTTCAAGAACTAGGCCAGTGCTCCCAGTATATATCTCGAATTAACTTCAATTACAGATGTGCATGACATTTAGGATCTTTTAGGACCTTGAAAAATTGACAAAGTGAGCAAGAAATTTCTATCACTTAATGCATGAGAGGGCATCAGTATCCTTCTTGTTTCTAGTCCAGTGTGGCCATATCCTTGATTTAAGGTATCTTTCTAAATCTTCTGGCAGACAGCTGGACAACTGCTGCAGCTACTCTCAGCTTTACTAAACACAGCAGTAGCAAAAAATTCAGAAGATGGTCTCACCATGCTGCTAATTTGCAAAATCATTAGCAGATACAGGAACAACTTTCTGGACTGCAGTAAAAAAATTCCAAACTTCCTGCTGTCAGATGTCAAGTAAGGATAACTTTGAGAAACGCTTTCCCAGTTACTGCTTTCTATCCCTGATAAAACCTCATTATAATTTTTTATGGCATGCAGCATGGTGTAAACACTATATAGGATCACCTTTAGAGCAGTGCATGTGTTGTGGCTGGCTGTGGTTACATAAAGTAAGGAAGGCATGGAAAAATGCAGGGTGAAGAGAACAGGTTAGATATAAAAGTCAGCAGAACTTTAGTTTCATCTTTCACATAAACAGGCCAAAAATGTCTTGTAGAGTTAACACAAGGCAGGTACAGAATACAGTGATGGTGATGATGTTAAAAAGTGCAAGTGCAAACATTATGTCTGAAGAATAGAAAATACTGAGAGAGAAAGTCTCCTGTGAGATTTGCAAAGATACAAAAAACCAGACAGGAGATAATTGGCTGCTCTCAGTAAAAGTCTACCAAGAAAGCTGTTGCATAAATTTATGGGAATAGCTGAGGGCATAGGGAAGATCAGTGAAAAAACAGAGGAGATAAAATCTATGAGGTAGGTAGTGGTAAGACATGAGGTAAATCTTAGATGGGATAAGCATTTGAACACTCATTTGAACACTTGAAGCTAGTCTAATAAACCATACCCAGCATTCTTATACGCCAGCATTTCAAATTTGAACAGCTACACTGCACTATGCAGGTGTCAGCAACTGGCAAACAAAACAAATACCATGTCAGATGTAAGAACAAATGTCTGTTGTGACCCTCCTCAGGAGTAAAAATCTAGCTCAGAAAGTATACATGAAAAGATTAGTGACCTACAGAAGCCTCTACATGTTTTATGGACACATCTCCAAAATGAAATATCAAAGCAGCTGCTGAAAGGCTGATATTTGATGTTCCTGTAGTCTGTCAGACATACGCTAGCTTGGGGCTAGTCTACATATGCAGTCATATTTCACTCACACTTTACATTAAAGTTCCTCTTATAAATGAGTTTAAAAGGATTAATTGATGGTTACTATGAGGTATAAACATACTGAATAAATAGTAGTATGTATATAATTACAAGAATGCCCATGGAATGTGCCAGTGATGGTTATAACCAATGGAATGTGGTACCCAATGAATGGATAATTGTTTTATCAAGTTTCTGTAGTTCACTTTAATACAGAGTATGACTACACTTTTCATCTCAGTGACTATCCTCTTATAAGGTGCTTATATGTCCTTCTTTGGTTTTTAAGCTTCTTTGGAGATGGCTTCTGCTACTTTTGACTTCAAATAACTGTGATAAAATCAAACTCCCTATTTCTCACGGGTGACACCATACTCGAGTGAGGATCAGATCTAATGCAAGAGCCTATCATCAGCCTTATTTAGAGATAAACATACAGCACCAAATCTGTACGGTGCTTGATAGTTCTTCAGTGAACTGGCCCAAATAAAATGCCAGACTCTAGTATTATTTGTGACCTGGCTAGAAATAAGGAAATCTGCTTGCATTTAAATTTAGTTTAAAGTGCTGTTAAAGTGGCTGCAAAATGAACTGTGATGAGGACCTGCTTTGAGCTGCCAGTTCACTTTGAGATGAATTGTAACAGTCCAGGCAGTGCTGGATAGACACATAATTTCTGCACAATTAAAAGAGAAGCATTTTAGCCCGGAAAATAAATGTTTTCATTTTATGTGAAAGCTGCTCATTTCAGACAATATCAACTGAATCTTAACTGGATGGCTGTCATTAAGCAGGTTTTCATTAGTGTTGATATTCCTCTATGCTTTTCCTTGTTTTCTGACTGGAAATGAAGAAAGATTTCTGTACCTGACTTTTTCCACTTGAGATTCTTGGTGACGTGACTTCTTATTGAAGCTGGGAGGCAGTCACTCTGGATTTTTTTGAAAATGAGTGACCATAAGAACCACTAGAGGAAGACAAAGGATAATAATTGATTACTTCAGGGGAAATTGCCTTTTTTGAGTGAGAATTGTTAAATGAATCCTGGGACAGTTGTATAGCTACTCCTTTGGAGGTTTTGTGTAAGCTGATGCCTACACAGGGTGTGGAAATTTCCATGTTTCTGGAACATTTCCTCCTTAGGAAACAGTCCAAAACCTGTGGTTTAGTCCTTTATCCACAGGGCTTGCTTAGTGTGAGATACAGATGAAAGATGCAGTTTCAGACTGCTCTCTTTGTACCTTGCTCAGCTAGGGATATGGATTCTACGCTGCTCAGGTTCATCTTCCAATTTGGTGGTGCCTCCTTCTGCCAAGCTTGAGTCAGACTTATGCCCCTTTAGTTGAAGGAATTTTTCCATCAAGTCAGCTCCCACGTTGAAGACCAGAGCCAGCCAGGCCAAGCCAAAGACAATCCAAATTGCAGTCAGGCTCCTGTACACAGGGATATAGTGCTTGTTGGGGTTTGTGCCTGAAAAATCCAGGGAAATTTGCACATTAATCTTGACAGCTTTGTTCTGCTGAACATACGTACTGATACACCCTCTCTACCCCCTGCAAAAATGTTGGTTTAGTGAGCTTGTGTGATCTATTAGCAGATAGATCTCTCTTTTTCCTTTTTTTTTATGCCAGCTCTCAGGTTAAACTTAGTGCAGTTGGCATCAAATCCCTGAAGCTGAGGCTATACAATAAAAATAGCCATATTGAATGTTGATCAGGGATGCACAAAATCAACAGCTCCTAGCCAACAACAAAGGAAAAAAAAACATCTTGGAAATTCAGTGTTGAATCCATATTAGCCATATTTTAGTCAAGAGAAACACTGAGAATCTCAGATGACTTAGAAAGATACAGTTTATTGATATAGTGATTCCTATTCGTAGGGTGATATAACTCAGTATGCAGGATTCACAATCACCTGGATACTATGGGAAATGCAGCCATTTTAAGTAAGTGGTTATGAGAATCTTAGTCCCTGGTTTGATATTTCCACAGCATGGACAATCGGTGCAGCTGATACAGGCACAGCACAGCACTGCAGCTATCCATTTAGTCTCTCTTGTCCACATCATCATGAAATTCCACAATGCCAGATACGGCATGGGATGCTTTTTTATCTTCTTTTGGGACCTCTAGGAGAGGTAGTACTTGCAAGACCTACTACTTGCAAAGTAAGAGATCCTAGTGGTTTAAAGAAATACACACATTAGACATAATCTGTTAAGATTATGCATTTGTTCAAATAAGCGTGTGGAAATGTAGCCCCTCACTTTACCGTGATGTCTTTACCGTGATGTTCTCAGCCTAGACTATGTAATCTCACTGGGTTTGTTTTCTTTCAGAGGCATCCTGTGGTTGTCAGTAATGTTGTTCCCATTGTAAGTATTGATCATTTAATATTTGACATTAATTGTTATTGGGAATGGTAGGCTCTTGCTGAAGCAAATCACTGTTAGGAGAGGGTGGTTTTAAGGCTTAATACCGCTTTAAGACAAAGAAATTTCATTTATATTCCACCTGTCACTCCTGGATCCCATTTGTGGCAGCCTGGGCAGAGACATTGTTGAATGGGTGTTCAGTGGCATATGTGAAATTAGTTGGGTGATTCGCAGCTTAGCTGCCAAGAGAAAAATGCTCATGTCCTATAATATATTAGCTCATTATTACTAGTCTGGCTGAGCTCACTCTTGTACCAGATTTATAGTGGAATGGATATCTATGCTCCCTGTATTTAGTTTTATACTAGAGTAACATATTTTAACAAAGCTTAATCCAGTTCACCTTCTTTTTTACCTACTACATAGTCTCCAAATCCAATGGTGCTCAGGGTGATGAAAGTGAAGTAAAAGCCTTCTCCATAGCTCCAGCCTTCTACATAACTGAAGACTAATGGCGGGAACACTAGAAAAAGCAAAGTCCCAGTGGACAAGAAGATGGCCACTGCCAGTGTTTGAACCACCTGAAAGATAAACCAAAGATGGCAGCTAAGCAGCATGGAGCAGTTGTCTTGTTGAAATTGCTGGGTCTGTTTTTTCTTGAATGACAAACCCAATCCAGCTGGGAGCAGTGGTAAAAAAAGGAAGGATAAACCAATGCTTCCATGCACTGCAGGCTGAGCTCACTGTTTACTCTGCACATAGATATTGTACCTAATCATGAAACAAAAAAACCCTTAAAATTAGGAAAAAGGGAGGACTTTTTTAAAGCTTTTTGCCATGAGTTTTTAAGAATGCTCCAGTCATATTTTCAGACTTACAACAGCCATAGGAATGAAATACTCACTTTTCAATTTCAATTCAAGAGGAGGTACTCTTGTAATCAATCAGTTTCTGTCTTTGAGGAAAATCACCAAGTATTGCATAAGTCATTATACAAAGATTGGCAAGAAAAAATTATGGTTCTTTTCACCATGATTGCTTCCAAAGATTTATAAAGCGGCTTATAAGAGCTCAGCCAAAAATATGTTTGAATGAAACCTAAGTGAAGTCAGTTTACCTTCTTTCATTTTTAACTTGGAAGCACTCAGAGGAAAACTGTTCTGTTAGCACAGGGAAGATCTATGCCTCTCAGTACAAATGTCTGCCTTCTGGGAGATAAGTTACTGCATATGTGACTGCAAAGACCGGTCAGGGGATGGGTCATGACAGCAGATTTTAGCAGTTTAGGACTGAGGATGAGGAATTCGTGGATTTCCAGGGAACACATTCTGTTGAACTATTGACTAGTGGTGTGCTGATGCAAACTCATTGCAACTATTTAAAAATGCCCTCAAGGGCATTCAAAGCAGAATATGATTTTCTATTCATGTGCCTATTGTGACTGGATGAAAAGCCAAACCACTGTTTATAAAGTAGAAGGTCCAGGTATCATGTTTCCTTTTCTCTTTCAGTATTACCTCACATATAAAATAGTACTCTGAGCTTGAGAAACTTGCTATGAGCCAACTGGGTGACTCGGAGAAATCAATTCTATATTATGTGCCATATCTCTCTAGCTGCTATAGTAATACTTACCTCATTTGCAGAGCACCTTGAGAATTACCAATCAACATGGTAATAGTTGATATCTGTTCCCATTTAGTTCATTCTAGTAGTGTAATAGTATTTAATTAGATAATGAATTTTGCATAAAAATTTATACTGAAATGCACAATTTTAATTTTTAGCCTGGCTTTTAAGAAATTTCTGGTAAAAACCTCTAATGTGGGACAGTAAGTCAGGAATAAGGAAGAACTGATTGTAATTAATTTCCCAAAGCATGACAAAATTGTGTTTAAAAGGAGGTAAACCAAATTCCTGGAAGAGGCTTTTCAGGGTAAACAAGCTGATACAGCTCCAAAGCTTTGTCTGATCATAGGAGTTATGCCAGAAATGAGGTGTTAATTCAGGAGTGAAAAAAAAATAAAAATCACATCCCTGAGGTGCTGTTAGAAATCTCAGGAAAGATGTAGCCATACTAACATGAAAATCCTTCCGGTGGTAGAGCTGCATGTGTTTGGGGAACAGGTATATGTTATGCAGCTAAAGAAATTTTGCTTATAGAATCCAAGTCTGCATTTGACAGTACCTTTATAGCCTTCCTACTGTAGATAAAGAATGCAGTGACTCAAGAGATTTTACAAATGAAAAAACTTGTGTCAGAACTGTGAAATGTTTTGACATATCTAACATATCTAATCTCCCTTTTGTCTTACTGAAGCAGTCAATTCACTGGACCTTTTCTCAGAAACATGCACTAACTGTGTTATAAATTACCTTCATGTATTTTCTATTATCAGTGCTTCTCTTATTATAAAACATTTGGACTAGTTCAATGACTAACCAATAAGCCGTAAGTAAGGAGAAGCAGTATTTGCATTTTAAGAAAACAGAAGCAGTGCTAAATTACTGGCACAATCAGGGAAGCTAATTCAAGACAGATTAGCATACCAATAAAAATAATTTGTCTTTGCACAGTGTAGAGCTAGACTCTGGATAGATGCTACCATAGGCTAGAGAATAGAAGCTTGATTTGGCTATGTGTGTATATGCACACATTCTTCTAAGGTCACCAGATTAATGGTTTTGCTGAGTCAGGTTTTAAAAAAGGCAAATCTAGAGTCCCTTAGGTAAAAGCCTATTTCTTTAAAGCTCTTGTAGATAAATCAAGTGTATGGAGTTTCTGCTGTCATTCACACAAGGAAACCCAATCTAGCAGCAGCACATATCTGAAAAGAGAACTTTAACTAGTTTTAAAATAGAAGAAACAAATGATAAATTGACACTGTACCTGGGCACGGCCTGGCTTTTGCACCCATCTTTCCAGGGTAAGCAGATGAGCATTGAGACCTTTCCCCAGCTGATTAAGGAAGGCCAGGTTGAGGGGCACTCCAAATAAGGCATAAAACACACAGAAGATCTGCCCTGCCACTGTGCTGGGGGACAGGTTACCATAACCTGGAAAAAAAGAAGAAAACAGCTACACAAAAAGGCTTTGCAGTAAAGCTGCAGGCATCATGGAGAGTTCCTAAGCTTGGAAGCTCAACAACATTAAGCTTCATGAACCTGTGAATATATGATTTTCTGTAATTAAATCTGTCTACAAATTGCCATAGTTTATGATGAAGGCCTGTGTGTTCACTACTACTAGCTGAAAATTGAACATGAAAAATACTACTCTTATAGGGAATATTGTAACTTGCTATAGGTTTCTGATTTTGTGGTGAGTGCAACTCAGAGCTTCAAAGCAACCTCAAGATGTGCTGTATGTGCTGTATGTGCTGTCCATGTACAAGATAATACTGCATGTACCAAGTAGGCACTCAGCTTCCTTGGCAGGTGTAAAATACTGGGTATGCAAGAATAACAGGCATAACTGGAAACCAACAGAAAACTGTAACTCACAGTAGTTGATTGTCTTGCAGGTGTATTCTATCCACCAATTACACATTTCTGGGGGCTTTAAAGGATAGTTGGAGGAAACCCAGGTTTATAGGGAAAGAGAGTACCTCACCTATAGTGGTGACAACAGTTCCTGCAAAAAAGAAGGAGTTGCTGAAGTTCCAGTTGCTGGGATTTGTAGAGTTTCCTTCTGGGTTGACCCCTTTTTCCCATGCTTCCATGAGGACCTGAGGTGGAAGAGGTCAAAGGAGCAAAGATGAGGAATAATGTCAGAAATAGAGAGAAGTAAATACTGCTTTCCATCTTGAGCAAGCAGAGTGATAAACAGTGTAGATAACAGGGTAAAGTTGGACTAAAATGGACTACTGCTGACATGGCAAAACTTGGAAATAGAGCTGGCTAGGAACTTGAACTCTTGCCCCTGGAGAACTGGTCACTGAAGTAGGATCAGTTCCATAGCTAGATGAAATCTGAGGGGAAAGGAGTGGAGGGATTCCCCAAAGTGATCCAACTGGGAAAAAAAAGTAAAGCTGTGCCATAAAAAATAAAGATAATTCCTCTTCTTCCATAGTCTAGTCATCTCATTCCATTTTTTAATGTAGGCAAGTGTAAATGTGTCTGTGGGGAAGGGCATGAGGAACATGCTCATTTCTATTTCCTCCATGTAAGTACTAGTGAGGATGATTTTCTATTTTTGGCTTTGACTTCCCAATAATTTTCAATGAATATTAGGCTTCTCCTAGTCTGAAAGATTAACTAATAAAATATTCTCTGCTATTTCAGATAGCTCTTACCAGATGACTAAAACTACTGTGTGCTAAAAAAATACTGCTCCTGCATCAAATATCCTGTCAACTGCCTTAGTGAAGAATGTGTTCCTTTGCTGTCTCCAAGGATTTCTCTGAAGGAGACTGGTTTCCCTCTGCTCAGTGGGTTTCCCTCTGCTCAGTGCCTGGTTTTTAAGAATCCCCTTGTTTGTCACATACCAGGTCACAGCTTTGTAATTTTGCAAAATGCCTAAGGAATTGCTCATTCATCTCTTTTGAAGACTTTCTATGATGCAAGGCATGAGCAGGATTTAATAGAAACACCAGCTTTAGCTGGTTTCAGGAGTATGAGACCAAAGAAGACCCTCTTTCTTGATTGAAATGTTGACTACTGCCAGAAGGATTGCTTTTCTAATGAACATACCCACTATAAGGTATCCAATTTTGTACAGGTTTTGCAGTTTTAAATGATCTGTACTGGTGGACTTGAGTACCGTAAGTTTAGTGGCTAATCTTATTTCTGCAGTAAAAAATCCTACAGCATTGGTCAAGTTTATCAGAGGGCTGCTGGGCATCATCACATGTGAGCTCATGACTGAAGTGTCAGCAGAGCTTCTTTTCAATACGACAAACAACTTTCTCCATTAAAAACCTGTTCTTAGAATGGGAATTCAACATGTCAAATTTTCTGGAGATGACTATTTCATTTTCTGCTTAGAAGGAACACAGAGAAGCTACTAAGGTGTGAATACTTTGAAATGTCTAAAATAATCACAGGTTTAATTTATTTCTGTAAGAAACACTTGACAGTTCTATGCATTTCAATGCACAAGAGTTCACAGGAGTTACATTCACATCATGAGAGTCAACATGGAAAAGTAAGGCAATTTTGAATGTTGAACCCTTAAGACACAATCTGACAAGGTCATATTTCTCGGTATGATTGTTGCTTTTAAGTACAACCCCATGAAATAAATGCCATCCTGGTGCCCAGGAGAATTGTTCCTAAAAAAACAGGTTCCTGTGGGACAGTTAAAATGGCTCCTAGCTCCTTTCATCTACAGCTCAGGTAAGGGTTATGGCTGGAGTGTGATCAGGGCAGCTGTTGAATGGTTGGTGAGCATTAGCTGTTGCCTTTGGGAACAGAAGTAGCCAGTAAGTAAAAGCAATGTGCTGCAATTTATAGCAGGAGTATGAAACCTATATAAAGCTACAGTAGTATGTGGAGAGAATGAAAACTTCCTGCTGTTTCTCCTCCTGTCCCCCTGCTGATGCACATTGCAGCCACTTGTGGTCACAAACAAGGATTTGGTCCTTTCACTCTATGTTTAGATCAGTTCGTTTGAGGCTGAAAAAGTATGGACATAATCAAAATCGGGACTCATAAAGGGTACTTCCTTACTCAATGCATCTCAGTTATGTTGTCAGAATGCATAATTTCCTGAGTGATGTTTACCAGAGATGCATTAGATCACACAATTTTGATTTGCACTTTCCCAAAGCTCCAGGCTGCTCATTTTAGGAGCTGCAGCTCAGGGCCACCTCTCAGCTAGGCAGTTTTAGCCATGCAGAGCCAATACAGTTTATTGACATGGAATTGCAAGAATTTGTTTCCTGCACAATCGAGCCAAAAGTTAATGAATTATAAGTGGTAACTCTATTATTGGTGATCATAGATATGCAGAAAGAAACCGGTGTTGACTCTCACATTTCAGGATTTATGTTTAAAGAATAGGCATTGAGATAAGACATGTTATACTTCTTAGCTGAGCACACTGAGTCTGGGGGCTGTGTCTCACTGCAGTCTGACTGTGAGACACAGTCTGTGACTTTTCAGACTGGAACTTCTGGCCTTCTTAACCATATAGTTAAAACATGCAGAGACACAACTGCTTCTCTGCATTAAAGTTAGAGATTTAATATGGGAAGAGTAGTATTTCCCAATATTAGTAAGAGTTAGACAAATTTCTTAACAAGTCTTATAAATAACAGGTGAGTCAGAGAGGACCTGTACTTCTGTGAACCTTGAGGACTACCAAGTCTAAGTACTTTGAAGCTTGGTGCATTGTAGGTGATTTGGTGCCCTCAGCTGGCTTTATCTGGAACAGCTTACAAGTGAAATTTTATTTAATTCTGCAGAGACATAACAAAATGTGATTCTCTGAGTGGCACGGCAGTGCTAAGAAAGCTCCACTGGAGACAGAGTGAGAAGAATATGGACACTTGTGAACCTTCCCTAAGGTTTCTAGGGTAGCAGAGATTTAACTAAACCTTTCAATCCTATAAGGTATCCCAGTTAGATTTAGAATGAGAATCAGAATTTTTGCCTCTACAATCACTATCAGAGATAAGGAAAGGACAGGTAATGTCACCAAATGCTATAGCTGAAAAAAATAGACATGTTTCTAGGCATGTAAGTTCTTTAAAACTAGTAATTTTCTGGCCAATGTCCAGTGTTCCACAAGAAATATATCAGTATTAGTATTAGTATCAGTATTAGTAATCAGAACATTGGCTTTGTAGACAGAGGTTCAGGCACCTTTGCTACCCTTTCTAATCTGAAATTCACTGTTTGCTTAAATCCATTTACAAAATCTAGGCTTTTTGTTTATCAAAACCTTAGTGGAAGTCCTCCAACTTCGGCAGTGCAAACTCGCAGCATGTTTAGAGTTTTTATAAGGTTTAGTGACATAGTAGAAAGAGTTCAAATTATTTAGGCACCCAGCTCTGCATCTGGGTAGATTTTGAGCACAAAGAAAGTGGTAGTTTAAGTATTTCTGTCCAGTTCTTGCAATACTAGTATGAGAATATAATACCAAGAAAGGTATCTCCAGCCAGTTTTGAGGAATAGATTAAAATGTAATTGAAGATGTCATTAACTGACAACCCATATTGAATAAGAGCTCTTTATCTCTTCTTACAAGAGAGATAACATAGTTAGCGAGGGTTGGCTTTATCTTTTCTTTAGAGGCTTGCGAGTGCAGGACCACCTTCAAAGATGGTAGACAATTCCTAGTACAAAAGGGCAGAAATGCACAGTTTTGGACTGGAGAACCTTGGAAGGGCAACCTGCTTATTTAGGTTTGATTCTTGATTTTGTCCCAAAGCATAATTCCCTGTAATAATTAATGAAAGAGCCAAGAACCATGAAGTTGAAATTACTGCAATGTAGCACAAAAATGCATCAGGCAGATTTACATATTTTAGGAGTTTGTGACTGGGAGAAGAAAGTAGTTCAATAGATCAAGATAAAGAGGTATATGAATGGGCTTGAGAAACCTCTGCCTTTAATTTAAACAGTTAGACCTTTAATATCATGGACACCTGATAAGTTTATAACATGCTTGGCCACAATAGTATAATTTTTTCTAATGAAAATAATGCTCGAGCCAAAATAATGGGAACCTGTTCCTCTTACCTGTACAAACTTCTCCAGGGCTTGTCTGTCCAAGCATGTGTAGTTCTGCAGGAAGTTAAGCTTCTCCAGCTGGAACTGGTCCCGAAAGTGGGTCTCTGCCTGCTTCTCAAGCAGCTGGAACACCATAGCACCCAAGAGGAGGTAAAAGAGATACCCCAGTACCAGCAGCGGAGTCCAGCTCATCCGCCAGCTGTGTATGGTGAGGAGAGGCATGCTGCTGCTCTGCTGTTGCCAGTCCCTGCTCAGTACTTAACAGGTTACTGTCCCAAGATGTGTGCTACCCAGAACACCCAGAAATCACACGCCCATGTTCCCAGCTACTGCCCTGGAGAGTTTTTTAATAGAACATACAGGTACCAGGGCTATATGAAATGAGACTAACAGAGAAATTTTATCCCTCCACATCTGTTCTCTATCCAGATCAAAAGGTAAGCACTTATGGCTTAATAAGAATGTGAATGATAGTGTTTTTCTCCTATTAAAACAACTTTTATCCAAAAATCTTAATCAAATGAATGAAGCCCTCTGAGGATGGTATTGGTTTCCAGGCTGGGAAGCTGAATCAAAACTCTGGTTATATGACTTACCCTGGGTCATAGGAATATGGAGTCACAGACAGACTCTTAAAGTCTTGACAAGTAAAGCCTTACACTAAACACTAGACTTCTGTACAAGAAAACTCTATAAACTCTAATTACAGCAGACTCTCCAGAACAAAGAAGACTATGGAGCTGAATAAACGGAAAAGTCAATAGCTGCCGTCTGTACCATACAAACATCACTGGCACCAGTAAAAGCAGCATGATGGAGCTTATAAACATCCTGAATTCAGCCTGGTCACACGACAGAACCTTTCTTTCTTTTCTAACCCTAATAAAATCAATCTCACTGCCTGGTGTGCTGCTCCTGAATTATTTGTCAGATGACTTCACCCTTTAGTCCATAGAGTTAGAGAATGCACCACTCATGCCTATTGCTTTCTCTCTCCATATTGCCTTTTTAATCCAAGTGCATAAGGGGGAAGGAGGGCTTAAGGTTAATCATTGGCCAAAAAAGCATCAGAGGTTCACTCATGGGAGCCTTAATGATTATTATACACTGGAAATGAGCTGGGCTTGCATATTTTTCTGTAGGAAGAGCTTTATGGCAAGTGTCATCTATGCCACACTGCTTCCAAAAGAAAACACACACACAGAAAGAAGGCCAGGTGGCTAGGGATGGAATTTCGTTATTAAACTCCCTTCCTGTTAAAATGTTCTGGATACAGATATCCCTCCTTTGCTTAGCATTCAGATTGTTTTCACCTACCTTCGAAAAAGAGTTAGTGCTCACAGAAAAAGACCGAAAAAAATTATTTCATTCATATCCTATTTGGGAAAATCCCTGTACTTGCTATTTGTACTGTGCTTGTAGCCTAGAGCCAGGCATCATCCAGAAGAGGATGACTGACTGGCAGCAGAAGGCTACTTAGCACTGTGAAAAGTGAAAACTATCGTGGACAACTCCAAGGAGACCATCTTGGACCTTTGTCACCACTCTGTCAGTGTGACTGAGGGACAGAAAGACTTCAGTAAAGAAGTGCAATGTGCAAGGACTCTGAGCCTTGGTGCTCTGGCATTTCTTGTCAGCTGAAAAAGTGAAACATTTGGGAGATAGAAGTTACAGTGGCATTGAAATTACTGAGCATGGCATTGAAATTACTGAGCACTTCAACATTATGAAGCAATCTGATCTGAAGCAACTGAGATGCCCAACTGACAGAAGGCCTTTTCTTGGTCTATGCTAAGGGTGACAATTACTTAGTATCTAACAAGAACATCTCTGTTGTATCTGATTTCCATAACTAAAAGGTACAGCTTGTTGTTCCATACCTTATCCCACGGTAAGGGTTGACAAGCCTGGGATGTTGCACAACTGCTTGTTATACTAGCAGGGCTGTCTCTGGTGACAGATCCAGGTGTTGGTCATGTTGTTTATAGGACCTATGTCTACCAGGCCAAGAGAATGACGGTCTACTGGTTTTCTGGAATGGGTGCAAACTCATCTGCATAGCTGGGCTGAGATAAATTTTCTCAGCTGAAGTACATTTCACAATTAAGGGTATGAAACTAATAAGATGTAAATGAAAAAATAGAGCACTGAATCTCTTTTATGTCCCCTTCCATTCTGTTCAGTTCAGTTCAACAAAGCATTCCAGCTGCCAAACTTGGCAGTCTAAATTATGCCTTAAGAAAAAATGTCCACTCAGGCTTACTTTTGGGATCTTAATTTTCTGAGGGTATTGCGAATTGGGTCACTAAAATTATAAAGGTGTTTTTACTTCTATACTGTAGTTATTCCTACTGGTTTGGTTTTTCCCTCCTTTAGTATAAGGTTGCAATATAGAAATCAAACAAAGCCAGACTGTGTGCAGCAGCCCAGAAGTTATGTCTTGCCACAGGAAAAAAAGAAATTCAAATATATACATTTGGAAGTAAACTGAAGACTTAAGATTTTTGTGTGAGTTTTGAATATGGAAGAGAGAGTTCAGCATGGCTTACCACATCAGAAATTAAATTTGGTTTCGAGGTAAAAAGGCATAATACAGAAAGTGCTGAAATAACAATACTAGCAGATCCCTTTTGATGACAGGATGACAAAGCACATTGTCTAATCTAACTTCTCTGTTCCTCTTCTAATGCTCTTCTGATTAAAAAATAAATAAAACCTGAGTTCACAAACAGAAATAAAAAGTCTTGAATGCAAGAACTTCTTAAGAGTAGCTGAACTTGGAAGTTGACTGTTCCTCAGAAGTCCTGCTTTTCCTGCCAATGTTGAACATAGGAGTGCATCTGGTCTCAAAGCTCAGGAATGATTTCTCACGACATATATTTTGAACCCAGGGCTGAACACAACCTCCTTGATTATTCCTTCACTTATTCCTTATTTTTCTTCCTCAGTATGACTGACCCAACAGGATCCAGCTTTTCTCACAAAAAATCTGAGCCATTCTGGAAAGGACATCCTGGTTTACAATCAACATAATAGTAATTTTTTCATTTATTATTTCCATGTATTACTTGTAATATTTTCATTTATTACTTGGAGCATTCAGGGTTCTCCAATTGCTTCACCTATTGTTGCTACAGTCCCTAACAGACTTAAACATGGATAGATACAAAACAAAGGATGGGCCAAAAATAACTGACATGGTTTGCTCACTTTCTGCACTGGCTTTCAACAGCCAGAAAAAATACCATTGTGATCAGTAGGAGTATAATTTACATTGACATAAATAAGCTGTTCCTAAAATAAGTAATAAAATGGTTGAAAGGTACCTTGGCTGATCCTGTCATTCACAAATTTCTGATGAAGAATGATTTTTCTGGACTAGTTTTTCTGGTAGAAATGTCTCTGTACCAAACTAGTTGACAAAGTGGATATTAAGATCCAGGGATTCATTCTTCCACTTGCTATGCATTTCAGCTTGAACAGTTTGTACAAGGAAAGACTTAATTGTTTTTAATTTGCTTTGCTCCTTGAATGACTTTTAGACTCTGCACTTCAGAGAAGAATTAAGGAAATTATTTTAGCACCATGTTAAGTATAAATAACAGAACCATTGCATTTCTTCAGGCATGACACTGCCATCTGGCAATTTTCTACTTCTGATCTTGTTCTTACTCCAAATTTAAACCAGTCATGATTGATGTGATTTATGTTCACATAGGTGAAAACATGAAGCATTTTCAGATAAAAAGTATAAAGAATTCTAAGATTTCAACAGTATTTTTCTCAGACAGATTCCATGGGAAGAAGAAATAATTTCCTTGAATTCTGTTGTTATTGTATTGGAAGTAGATCTTGTTTTGTGTTCTTCATCTATATAAATACATTCACTGTTGGCCCACAACAGTGGGCACTGTTGGCAGCACTGCAGCTGCCCTAAAAAATGAACAGAGAATAATCTTCAATCAACCTCAGGTGCAGCCCCTGAGATTTTACTCAAGGAAAAGAGAAAGAAATCTTTACTTTTATTGTGGTGGTGTCAAATCAAGGCATTGATAGTAACCACTTAAAAATATCCAGTTTACATTGCTTGTCTTATAGGTGAGATTTCAAACCAAATATTGCAGGAAGTGAAACAGAAAAAAAAATATTAGAAAAAGATCATTTAACATTGACTTTAGCAACAATAAAAATGATTCATCTGAAATAATCTAAAAACAGAAGTTTGAGTGTTGTGGTTATTAAAAATGGACTTTGAAAAGACAAATAAATTCTATATGGAGCTACCAAATATGCTATATGTAACAGGACATTCCAAGATGTTCATCTTCTTGGCATTCGTATTCACCACCTGCATATTTGGTAGAGGCAATATTTACAAGATCTTAACATTTTATTACGTTGAAGTGTTCTCAGTTTATACTATTGACATAAAATACTTGCATCCTGTGATTGATTAAACCAGGTAAGTATATATTACATTATATGCTTACACTGTTACACATGTGAACCTCATTATTCCATTTCAAAGCCTCTTTCTTAAAAAGTGCAGGAGTGACAGAGGGAGATTGAATTAGGCATGTCCATCTTCCAAGCAAGAGAAACTCAAGGTTATGTAATTTTCTTTTTGAAGCTCTCTGGAAAGCTGCAGTGGCCAGGAAGTGGTAAAATGCCCAAGCCAAGAGCTTGTTAGCTTAAGGGTTTCACTAATGCCATTCCAGACTGTGTATAGAGCCCTGGCAGACTCAGCATAAATGAGAACAGAGCCTTTGACCTTTATTGTAAGTCTGGGTCACACCCTGACCCTTCCAGAAGCTACATTGCTGTAGGAGACCAGAGGATGTGTATCTTTTTCTGAAATAAACCATGAGAAGACTGGAAATATGTTGAAATACAAGATGATCCACAATGTCTGGTATCAATTAATCCCAGAAATATCTATATGATATCTAGTACTCTACAGCTACTTCCTCCAGAAATCTCCACCAAAAAAAAAAAAAAAAAGATTTATTCCGATTGCAGGTAATAAAAAAATGGTATTTACCATATGAACATTGAACCAAATGCAAGTAGATATCACGGTGAATTGACAGGAATGAGATATGTATGAGAATCTCCATGCTTAGCAATACTGTTTTACATGTGGCTTAGGGAGGAGTCAATACCAGTATAAATGTGGGCTTCTGATTGTTTCTTCAATGTGGTAAATACTTGGGTTATTTCAAATTAATCTTGCAATTATATGAAGAGAGATTATTAGAACAAGAAACTTTGTTCACTTGTGGCCAATTAAACTTTTTGAAGCAATAAATGCTTTCGTGAAGCCAAGTAGACTTAGGGAAGTGCCCCAGTAGCCTTCTCACACCTGTGAGAGAGACATTAAGAAGCTGGAACCAGGCTTTTGACAGTGTGGCTTGTGAGAGGAAGAGAGATAATGGGCAAAAAAGAAAAGTTCAGGCTGGACATAAGAGAAAATGTTTTCATGATGAGTTCAGTCAAACATTGAAATGGACTGCTTAGAAAGGTTATGCAGTCTCCATCCTTGGAGGTTTTCAAGACCACATTGAACAAAGCCCTCAGCATCTTGATTTGATCTCATAGCTGATGCTGTTTTGAGGAAGAGGTGAGATTAAAGACCTGCTGAGGTCCTTTCCAACCTGACATTTCCTATAAACCCAAGAGGCAACTTTTGAAAAGTGGAGGCAGTTTCTTTGAAAAGAGAATGCTTTATGTCTGAAGACTGTTGTTTACTGAATGAGCAATCTTTTCTTTCCATATGATATTATGAAATTTTTCAAAGAAGAAATCTTTGTATTTGTATATATGGTTTTATATATTTATATGGTTTTCTATTACTGGCTGCACTTTTGTCCAAGTTCTTAAGTGTTTGGTATAATCTTACTCTGAGACTATTTTGCCAATCAAGGACTACTTTGTTGACAATGATTGAATTTCACACCAAATTTACAACAGTGTAAAAACAGGCTAGAGAATTTTGAAGCAGAAGAGCAAGGAATTTTTTCTCTCTGTGAGATGTGAGGCAAACTGAGAACAGAACACTGAATCATCAAGTAATAGCAGCATCACAGAGATACCAGGGTTGCACTGGTATCCTCTTAAGCAGTTACTTAAAGCTATTGGAAATGCTTCAATGCCAAAAG